AATAGAGAAAACAGTATAATGAACTATGTTCCCCCAACACCCAGCCCTAACATCTACTAGCTTCTTTTTTGAGACTCGCTCTGTATTTCAGGCTGGCCTTGAACTTTCGGAGATTCTCCTGCCTCAGCCTCCCAAGTGCTGGGATCACAGGCATGTGCCACCATGCTCAGCACCAGTTTTCTTGTTTCTTCCCACTCCATCCCTCCTCCTCCTTGTTCAGTGTATATATCCTGTAGCTTTTCTTCCCCCTACTGGGGATTGAACCCAGGGTCTTGCATATGCTAGGCAAGCACTCTGCCATTGAGCTACATTTCTAGTCCTTTTTAAAAAGTTTTGTTTTTGAGATAGGTTCTCACTAAGTTGTTCCCTTGTGGCTTGACCTGTAATCTCCCAAATTGCTGGGATTAGAGATCTGCGGCACTGTGCTGTTTATAACCCAGCTGGATGTGGTGGTGCACGGCTATAACCTCAGCACTCTGGGAACCTCAAGTAGGAAGACTGCAAGTTTGGGCCCAGCCTGGGCAACTTAGCGAGACCCTGTCTGAAAAAATAAAAGGCTGGGGATGTAACTCAGTGAAAGGCCCTGGGTTCATTCCCCAATTACCTCTGCCCCAACACACACACAGAGTAATCCATTGGCTTGATCTGGACTTCATGGCTTTAGCGTTAATTAATTTGTTTATCTCTTTTTGTGGTGCTGGGGATGGTACCCAGGGCATTGTGCATGCTAGGCAAGTAAGTGCTATGCCACTTGAGCCACACCACCAGCCCAGGGCCTGACCCCCATCCCCACCCCAAGTGGCCTTTGGAACATCCTCAGGGTCCCTGAGACACCTGGCTCTGCAAAGTTGTTTGCTGCCCTCCTCCTCCAGGTTCATTCAGGAAGTGCTAGTCAACAGCCAGGTCTGGTGGTTTGTGCTGTGGAAGCCTGCAGGTCTATTTTGCTCGTCAGTGATGGTAGCTGCTGCTCTTGGCATTAGGTTGGCAGGGGTTCAGAGCGGGAGCACAGTGCCAAGTGGCCATGGACATACGCAATGGTTTCCTTCCATATTTGGTAGTGCCGCTGCCCACTCCTAGGAGTGAAGCAGGGTCAGGGCTTTGGCTGAGTAGGTTGATGCAGTCTCTGCTTCCGGCTCTGCCTGGGCTCGTGCAGTCAGGCAACCATAATCAGTGGCGGGTCATTTTGTGGGTTCATGATTTGGTGCAAATGGTTTGTTGTATTTCTTGGGAAAACGAAGTATCTTGTAGCCTGGGTCCCAGCTTCACATCTCCTTTTTGCTCCCAAGCTGTATCATTAGCATCCCTGCCAAGGCCCAGGGGAACAGGGATGGAGACTCTGTCACAGGTTGTTAGCAGCTTTTGTGCCCCCAGCATCTGCTGGTGAGGAGGAGGTTGGGAGGATAAACCTGGGCAGGAGGTATCCTCTTCAAGGGCAGGGCCGTGGGCCTGGTGTGGGGAGGAAGTGCCCCTTAGCAGCTGGTAGCTGCCCATCTCTGGTGCAGCTGGGGAGTCTCTGTGGGCAGAGCATGGATGGTGCAGTTTCTGAGTGCTTTTGATTTTCAGTCTCACTCAGATGGACAGCTGCCTTCTGCTGTGGGAACAAAATGTGTTTAGGCAGCTCACGCCCCAGGCGCTGGTGAGGATGGGCGGTTAATGCTCAGGAAGGAGCGGGAGAGATGCACCATTAGCTGTTATTAGTCCTTGAAGGCTCCCAGCCACTGCCAGTCAGCACCCAACTGTGCCTGGGATATGGGGGTGTCAGGCCTGCCTGCCGGAGGAGTCTCTAGGGGCCACCCCCCGTCTTGACTGCGAACTGTTCAAACCCCAAGTCCATCTGGAAGAGCCATTTGAGAGGTTCATACAGGATGAGGGAGCCCCTGGCAGACCAGATGGATGGCCCAGTCCTAGTGCTACGGGGAACAAGGAGGACTTCCCTGGCCTGGAACTCTGAATTTCATCCAGCTGAGTGTGTGTGTGAGGGGATTCTTGGTAGCACCCATTATAGTAGCTAAGATTGTCTTTTTCACAAAGCCTCAGGCTCACCCTTGCATCTGGTGGGATCTGAGAGCACGCTGGTTGCCTGCCAGGGGCAGCAGGCAGTGTTGGTTCCTGTGTGTGCAGGTTCTGTGATGTTTCCTTTAGTAGTCAGACTCATGGAGATGAAAAAGAGATCAGTTTCAGAAAACCAGTGATGTAATAGGCGGTGTGCAGAGATGGCAAAGCATCTTGGAGGCGCTTTTGAAATCACTGAGCCTGGAAAGTGCTGCTCTGGTGTTGCTGATGGGGATCCCAAGTGTGGGGCCGTCATGCCCAGACTTCACCCAGCTGGTCTGGGGTTTGTCCTGTGTGCCTTCTCTCTTCCTCTCTGTCCTTCCCTCCCTTTCTTCATTTGCTCATCCCGCAAACACCATGCCACTGTGTGCTGGGTGCTGTGACAGTTCCTGACGAGGTGAGCTGGTGTCGAACTCCAGTGAGAGCTTGTGAAGACAGCTGAGTGTTCTCACTTGTGTGTGGAGGCCAACGTTGATCTCAAAGGAGCGGAAAGTAGAATCGTGCTTACCTGAGCTTGTGAAGAATGTGTTAGAGAAGGGGGATGTCTAGAGGATGGTTAACAGGTGAAGCGGTGCAGGTGGACAGGAGGAGAACCTTCTAATATTCTGTAACACATGAAGCAACTTACTATGCTTGATAGCAATCAGTTGACTGTTTCCAAGTAGCTAATAGGACAGTGTGTGTGGTACAGGTGACTGAACCTAGGGCCTTGTGCACGCTAGGCAAGTGCTCTACCACCAAACTACATCCCTAGCCCTTTCTATTTTGAGACAGGATTTTACATAGTCCCAGGCCAGCTTTAAACTTGAGATCCTCCTGCCTCAGCCTCCTGCATAACTGGGATCACAGGGGTGACCTCTATGCCCAGTCCACTCCTGTGTCTCTAACCAGCTTCCTGGTGATGCTGATGTTGCTGGCCTGCAGACTACATGCAGTGGTTTAATAGCAGGGACCACCTTCTGCTTGTGGGCTTTCTTGGACTTGATCTTGGAGTGGACAAGTGTAAGGTGATTCACCAGGAAGCAAAGCGACCCATTTTAGAGATGCTGTGGCTGTGTGCCCTCCATAATGAAGCATCAGGAGGGCCAGAATGCTTCAGAGTTGTTTTCAGTCGAGCTGCTCATTGTTTCCACACCCTGGATGTCATTTCCCTTCATCAGCTTGGTTGATTCTTAAGTGATTGCTTCAGGTCAGTGTTTGAACTTCTTTTTGATCCTCACCTTAGTGACCTGTGAAAGTCAAGAGGACCCTCCTTTCCTCATGAGCCCATATTGCCTGGGGAGGCTGCTCCCAGTTCAAGGAAATGCCAGTGTGCAGGAGGCAGGCAGCTTTAATTATTTCACTCGGGCTCATTTCAAACATCCGAGCGCCCATGTTGGTGTCAAAGTTCTCCATGTGTCGTGTTTTATTTCTGTCCAGGTTTTAGCCAGCTGAACACTTTGGTTATGAGTTGTGTGTCAGAGGTGAATACTGTGTCTTGAAGCTGAGAGTCAAATACCAATTTAAAATCCTTTTATACTTGTCTTTGAAATTCAGACAAATGAAATGGAAATAACACAAGGGCTGCGGTGCTGTGAAATATTGACCACCTCTCCTATAGAAATCTTTAAGGGGTGGCCTTTTTTAGCCTGCTTTCACTTTCTTGATTTGCCCAATGTAATTTCCCATTAAAAACTATCCCTGGGGGCTGGGGGCTGGCTTGTTAGAGCCCTGGGTTCTGTGCCCAGCACTGCAGAAGCATATAGAAAAATTAGGCCTTTGGAAACCAGTGGCCCCTTGAAGAGTGAGGCACTTCTTAAAATTTTGAAAACAAAACCCTCTCCTCGAATACACCCCCGGCTTGTCCCTCTTATGCTGCAGTTGTCCTTCTCTTTGCATCCTCAGGCACCCTCCTCGAGCCCTGCTGTGGCTGCCTGGTGGAGTGTCCCTTCCCTGGTTGCATTTCCCACATCTTTTCCTGCAGTGGTTCCCTGCCGCTTGCTTTGGGACCCCAAGTGCGCTAGTGCTCATTCCCTGCCTGTCGCCGCCTGAATTCCCCGCATCCTGCCAGGTTCCGCTGGGTCCCTCCAGGGCAGCGGGTTTCTGTGCATACGCGGGCTGGCTGCCTGCCTGCCTGCTGCACTGACTCGGGGTTTTAGCGTAAGAGGACTCTGAAGCTTTGCTAGCAGAGCAGTTGTTTGCTCACCACCCAGTGGCAGCAGCACTACCCCTGCCATCGCAGAAGCCACAGCCCAGTCCCAGAACGGACTCATGGCCAGCTCTGAATCGATCAGTGATCGGAAGCAGGTCATAAACTTCTCAGCGGCATGGGCCACATGTATTATTTGTGAGCGTGACACCAATGTTCATTGGCTTTCATTCTTGATTAGTTTGACTTTCTATTTATCACTGTAGGAAATTTAGGGGAAAAAAGAAAGAAGAAAAGCACTCCATAATCCCACTACCCTGAACAAACAAATCATTGTTATCTTTTTGGTATGTTCTTCTGCCATTTCTTGGGGATATAGGTGAATGCAGACATGTGGCTGATGTCGCACTGTTATGAAAGATGTCTGGCTCTTCTTTTCATTGATTCAGACCATCTTTCCAAGGCAATAAATATTTTCCTAGAACATCTTTTTTTGTTTGTTTTTTTTTGTTTGTTTCTGGTACCAGGGATTGAACTTGGGTCCTTGCTAGAACATCTTTTTATATGGCCACAGAGCATTTTTTTGTATGAATGGATGGTATTTTCTGTAGCAGGCCCTTTCCTTTTAGACGTCTATGTTCGCAGTGTTTTTGCCACTTGATGCAGCTTGCAGATGGACGTTCTCGCAGCTTTCACCGAACTCTAAACATTTCCTGCAATGAATTCCTTAAAGCACACACAGAGCCAGCCTGGCTGGCTTTCTTTTTTTTTTCTTTTGCGTTTCTGATACATGGTAATATTTACTTTTCTTCCTTTTTAGACACTACAACAACAGGAGTGCAAACTTCTCTACAGCCGAAAAGAGGGCCAGAGGCAAGAAAATAAAAACAAAAATAGATACAAAAATATCCTGCCCTGTAAGTAGCATGTCCTGCCTCAATCTTTGTCACTGACCTGCGGGCCATGCGCATGTTAACACATCCTTGACCTTAGTCTGTCAAATTCCAAGCATTTCCAAAGTAATCAGCCGTAGTGGGCACTGATGACCTCATTCACTGAGTTTCTGGGATGCTGATTACTGAGTAAAATTGTCACTAGAAGGCCTTGTCTTTGGTCACTTCCTTCTGTTAAATCAATTTTCACTCTGCTGGAGTGTAATAATCTGGAGGCTGTGCTTGCTCAGTGACAGGCCAGGCCCAGAGCCACAGGCTCCAAGGTTTGTGTCCCTGTCCCCCATTCATGAGTCTTGGGAAGCAGACAAGCTACTGGGGCTCTTTCAGCTGTCCTGTAGGCTGGAGTTACTAGAGGTAAGGGCATATACCTATGCTCTGCTCAGAGGAGGACCTTGTGAATACATATTCAGGAGGCCCAAACTCCTTTAGCATTGCAGACACTGCCAGCAGAGCCCAAGTAGAATCACAAGGGAAAAGGAGCCTGGAAGGTTGTAGATCTTGTGTGTTAGTCACTTTCTTGTCACTGAGACACAGTGACCAACACCCATAACTTAAGGAGGAGAGGTTTATTTTGGTTCACACTTGGCTGCTCCAAGGCAGGATGGCATGCCTAGAGAAGCATAGCAGAGGAGAGCGACTCACAGCATGGTGGACAGGAAGTTGAGAGTGAGGGGAGCAACTGGGGAGGGTCATGCACCCTTCCAGGCCACACTCTCCGTGGGCCCACTTCTTCCAATCAGGCCCCACCTCCTAACAGCAAGCCCTCTGTGGGCCCCAATAATCCAGTCACCTTCCAAAAGCCCTGCCTGTGAGTGCACAAGGCTATTGGGGACATTGAAGTATGAACCATAACACCTTGGATGAGGACCCCAGAAATGGCACAGCTCCAGTTGTAGCTCCCCTCTCCATGGGTCCAACTCCACCAAACACTTTGCATCTCGACGTCACTTAATCTGTGCCACATGTATACGGAGCAGGCATTCTCATTGTCCCCATTTTATAGACTGTTTTAACAAGTTTGCAAGGAGGACTAAGTGGGAGAAACAGCTACTGGAGCCCCCAAAGGCATTATTCTTAGCACCATACTCTAATGCTGGGGCTCCAAGGTGGGCTATGCACAGGAGGGCAGGGAAGGAACAGTTAGAGCTTCTATTTACTTATATCCCTCATCTAAAAGAAAAATTCATATCTGATACATTGATTGATGGCAGTGCATGTATAATATATTTCACTAGCTTAAAAGTAAGCCTTGTCTAGAGTCATATTGTACATGAATATATATATATATATATATTTCAGTGTTTGGAATGTTTATTTACTGATGTCCACAGTCAGATTCGGAGTGCACACTCCCGTGCCTCTTCAGGTTGGAGCTACTTTGTCAATTATTATAAACCTGCTGTGAGTGTGTATATGACGCACTGGTGTTCCCTCTTTCTGCATGTGTATGTACATGAACCTAGTACCCATGTATGTTCCATCCATGGGACTTTGGGATGAGGAGGCATTTCTAATGTCGAGGAAGGGAAGAAGGAGGTAAAGCTGCAGCAGATCCTAATGTCCTTGAGGAAGCCACATTCTTTGTATGTCTGAGCTTTCACTTCTGCTCAGGGGCTCTACCAATACAATGGTAGTTTGCAGTTTCTAATTATAATACTGCCTTTTTCTCCCTTGACAGTCCAAATGAGATGTTTTCTCTGATTCACTCCTTACTTCTTTTGCTTTTTTCTTTTGCATTGCTAAGGCTTGAACCCAGGCCCTTGTACATGCTAGGCAAGCACTGTGCCCCTGAGCCACATTCCCAGCCCGCATCTTAACTCTTTAAAGATGGCTGTCCAGGCAGAAGACCACGATCTATTAATAAAGATACACAACTGCATTACTGATGCCCATTGTAAAATATATTCCTTTAGATAAAGCACTCAGATTTTTATGCCTATAATGTTCTGTTATACAGAATCTGGTCAGTTGATACTGTCAGAATCTTGTTTTTTACATATTGTATTTCATTCTACCTTCTTTATTATTATTTTTAAAATTCTTTACTTCCGTTTTGTTTTTGTTTTTGTTTTTTTGGTACTGGGATTGAACTCAGGATGTTGTGCTTGCAAGGCAGGTACGGTACCGTTGAGCTAAATCCCTGGCCCTTCTCTCCTTTTTTCTTTTTTTGAGACAAGGTCTCGCTTTGTGTTCAGGCTGGCCCTGAACTCACTTTGTAGCCCAGGCAGGCCTCCAACTTGTGGTGATCCTCCTGCCTCTGCCTCCTGAGTGCTGCAATTATAGGCGTGTACCACCATGCCCAGTGATCCTTCTCCTTTTTTTTTTTTGTTACAGGGTCTGGCTATGTAGTTCAAGCTGGCCTTGAACTTGTGACAATCCTCCTGCCTCAGCCTCCCAAAGTGCTGGGATTACAGGCATGTGCCATCATGCCTGGTACTACCTTATTTTAAAAACTTTTTATTATGGAAAGTTGGAATTATATTTAGAAGTAGACAGAACATACACATATCCATCACCTGGGTTCAACAGTTATTAGCTCAAACCTCATCACTTTTTTCTTTCTTGGTACCAGGTATCGAACTTAGGACCTTGCACGTGTGAGGCAGGCACGGCACCACTGAGCTAACAAGCCCCATCTTATTTCATTTATACTTTTGGTTCACTTCTCCTGTCTCCCTAAATTATTCTGAAGCAAATCTCAGGTATCCTACCATTTATCTGTGCTTGAATCTTCTCTTTTTGGAGACAGATCTTGCTATGTAGTTCAGCCTGGCCTTGAACTCTCAGTGATCTTCCTACCTCAGCCACCCAAGTGCTGGAATTACAGGTGTGCGCCATCACAACTGGTTTAATCTTTTTAAAAACAGAAGCCTAAAGACTTTTTGGTTTGAAATAATTTTCGACTCATAAGAAGTTACAAACATGGTAGGAGGTGAGGCCTGCCAGTCAGGAGGCTGGGGCAGGAGGATTGAAAGTTAGTCTAAGGCCCTCCTGGGCAATTTACCAAGACACTGTCTCAAAATAAAATTAAAAGGCTGGGGATTTAGCTCAGTGGTTCCACCACTTGCCTCGCAAGCACAAGGTCCTGAGTTCGATCTCCAGTACCAAAAAATAAATAAATAAAAAATAAAATTAAAAAGGGAACTGAGGATATTGCTTAGTGGTAGAGTGCTTCTATAGCATATGGAAAGCTCTGATTCAAACTCCAGCACTATCACCATCACCAAAAAAAAAATCATATAAAGGCTTTCATGTTCGCATCCCTCACCCTCCCTCCCCACAGGGCATCCTGTAGTCCTCCATCAAGACTAGGGTCTGTAAAGAGCAGTATGCAGCATCATGTGCTGAAGTGAGTGTTCTAAGGCTGGACTGGGGTAAGGATGGGCTTATTTGTCCTGTAGCTGGCTAAGTACTTACAGAACTGTGCCCTCTCTTCCCTCCAGTTGATCACACCAGGGTGGTCCTCCACGACGGTGACCCCAACGAGCCCGTGTCTGACTACATCAACGCAAACATCATCATGGTAAGCTTGCTACTTCTCAGTGTCTTCCGGCCACACACTACTAGCTTTGTTTTGCATTTTAAATCCTGTTTTGTGTTCTGAAAGCAACTTTCAGATGTCTGAAGGGTTTTCTTCCTAAATTTCTAGCCTGAATTCGAAACCAAGTGCAACAATTCAAAGCCCAAAAAGAGCTACATTGCCACACAAGGCTGCCTGCAAAACACGGTGAACGACTTTTGGCGAATGGTGTTCCAGGAGAATTCTCGAGTGATCGTCATGACGACAAAAGAAGTGGAGCGAGGAAAGGTACACAGAGTCATCTTTTCTGATAAAAATTCTTTCTTGGGGCTGGAGATTTAGCTCAGTGGTTCCGCCGCCTGCCTTGCAAGTGCAAGGTCCCAAGTTTGATCCCAGGTACCAAAAAAAAAAAATTCTTTCTTTTGGGATATCAGGGATCGAACCCAGGACCTCATGTATGCTAGTCAAGTGCTTTACCACTGAGCTACAGCCTCAGCCTCTGAGAAAATATTTTGAAAGCATTGTACATGCCTGGTGGGCCTCATTAGAAATGGAATAAACAGGTACTGCTGCCTACCTTGCAAGCGGAAGGTCCCGAGTTCGATCCCCGGTACAAAAAAAAGAAAAGAAATGGGATAAACAAAGCCAGGTGTGGTGGTACACACCTGTGATGCCATCACTTGGGATGCTGAGGCAGGAGGATTGCTGTAAGTTCAAGGCCAACCTGAAATACATAGTGACAGTGTCTAAAAAAAAAGAGATGGAATAGACAAACTAAGCTCACTCTAACTGACCCTTGGCAAAAAGGAGTAGAAGAAATTGATTAAAATGTGTCTCAGTGTAGTCTCTTTTATAATCTTGTTTGGGACTCCTGGAGCTTCTTAGATCTGATGATTTACAATTTTCTTCAGATTTGGTTATTGTTCACCTTTAATTCTTCAGACATGTACCCCATCCCAGCTGTCCCAAAGACCACTTATAGTGTTTTGAGCTGCTTGGAGTTGTCCCCCGGTCTCTGAGGCTGTGCTTATGTGACTTAGCTCTCTTTCCCTTCTCTGTGATCCATTTTGGGTAATCTCTTTTGCTGTGTTTTTTTGTTAATCTTTTGTCGTGCAGTGTTTAATCTGTTCTTAGTCCTCTTAGTGTGTTTTTCATAGCAGATATTGTGGGGTTCATCCCTGGATGTTTTTCTTGGGTCTTTTTATTATCTTCTGTGTGCCTCCTTTTAGCACGTGCAGCATTTCCCCTGCCCTTTGAGCACACAGACTATATTTATAACTGTCTTCATGTCTTTGTCTACTAATTCTGTCATCAGTGTTAGTTTTTGCAGTGTTTTAGCTAAGATGGGAGGGTGAATCTGCACCCTCTTACTCTGTCAGATGCAGAAGCAGAGAGGGAGAAGGGAGCAAAGGTCTGTCTAGATGGTACCTTCAGGTGGTGAGAGCTCTGAGCAATAACAGTGGTCTCACTGCTCATGTAACCTGTACTTCTCATGACTTTTGTGCAATAAGAAATAATTGGAATTATGCAAACGGTACATTCACTTGAATATTCCAGCATGTTGCAGTTAAAGTTAAAGTTTCCTTTATTGCCACCCCATCCCCTCCTCCCACATAAAAGCCCACTTCTCAGCTTGATGTGTGTTCTTCTGCAGTACCGCCTTGGCATTTCTCATGTATATGCACCTTTACAAGCATGTAGTATTATTGCCATTCTTTCTTGTTTTTGGCTCTGGTTATGGAACCCAGGCCTTGCGCATGCTAAGCATGCATTGTTCCACTGAGCTACACACCAGCCACATGCTAGTTTCCGACTGAACAGTGTTTCCATACAGTAACTTTATCGTGTATCTTGGTTGCTTTTCCTCCCCATTAAGTACATACTCTTCCTCCTTCTCTTAGCATATGCCGGCCTGTCTTATCCGTGTGAGTATCTGTGTGGTATTCTGTGGTGTGGCTGTGTCATAATTTATTTAACCAGGGTGTTGTAGATAGGCCATTCCGTGTTCCAGGGTTTGCTCTTACACACAGTGCTGAAGTGAATGACCTTGGGCTTCCCTTCATATGCAGCAGATGTCAAGAGAGATGGCCGGGCCATAGGATGCACGTGTTGTAAATGTTAATAAGCTGCCTATTGTCCTCTGGAATGGCTGTCCCAGTGCACACTCACCACAACAGGGCCTCGATCCCATCTCCCCACACTCTTAACCATGCTCCAGGTTCTTGGAAATTGTCATATCCCACACCTGTTGGAAAGCAGCCTCTGTGTAGTCCCAAAGTAAGCCCAGCCTGGGCTGGGTGTGTGTGTGTGCTAATATGACAAAAGTACTGTGTTTTTTTTCTGTTCTGGTCTGAGTTTTGTTCTAGTTACCCTTTAATTAGTTCATGTAAAAACTGAGGGGACTGTAATAGTCACACCTAGCAGGTGAGCCTAAGGCTGCTGGGAATGTGGGATTGGAGCCCTCATGCAACTTGCAGGTCAGGTGTGAAGGGCAGTGTGACTGCATAGGATCTTCACTGTTGTACTCCTGGTTGGTGTCTTTCTGTGTCCTTTTGAGGGCCCAATCTGGGCACTGTGAAACAAAGGTGCCCTCCGGCCACAGTAACGCTGGGTGTGTTTGAATTAATGGCCCGGCACAGTGTCTTCAGGGTTTCTGCTTCAGGTGAGTGGTTGCTGCCCTGAATACAGGAAGGGAGCCGAAGCCCTCTGCCCTGCTTCTTGCTTGGATGGAACTGGAGGAGGCTGGCTGTTCTCAGAGCACTTGGGGCTGGGAGAGAGGGGTCTCATGTTGCTGCAGACGCGAAAATATCAGCCTCTACCTGAGGAGCTGTTGAGAGCTCCTAGAACAGATGGACACCGGCCAGATTGCCCTGCCGTAGTCCTCACCTCCTCGCCCCATCTCTCCTCCTGCATTTGTCCTCCTCACTTTGGGGGTGCAGAGCCATGGCATGCTGGGCTTGGGCTTTTATCTTCTCTGCAGGCTTCTCTGATAGCCTGCTGTCGGTGTCCCCAGAGCACAGAAGGAAAGCCAGCTGTGAATGCCCTTCAATCCCTGTGCTTTAATGTGAAAGATAATACATTAGCCTTCACATTTAGTGTTGGTTTGCCAGGGTTTCCACATGAGAGTTTGGAAAACCAAGAGGAGGGCTGCAGCAGTTTGCAGCTGTGTAGTCAGCTAAAATGTTCTTTCCAGAGTCATGATTTAATTTTGTGTTCCCTGTTGAGGTCTCTGTAGTGACTGGAACAATCCTCTGAACTGATTGGCCAGTAAAATATTGAGTATAACCCATACTAGAAGGGCATATCTGGGGAAAATGTAATTTGTGTCAAATCTTCTGAAAAGTTTTTGGACCTACCAAATACTGGAGGCAAAGTTGAATTCAGAATAATAGACCATGTCCTTTTGTAGACTTCCCCACTACCTTGTTTGTTTTCTTTCACTTAATCGTTGACTGTGGACGTCTGCAGCTATGCTCTGATTGCTGGTTGTGTAACTCTACATTTCTCTGTCTTCCTCATACACAAAGTGAATTTTTCTTGCTGATATCTGTGTCTTGGTGGTTTCGGAAAGTGAATGATGTGAGTGACCGCTCCTGGAACAAAACAAAACAAAACAAAAGCATTCTCTGCCTGGGACACATCACCAAATAGATACAAATTCATCTGTCATTCAGCAAAATTGTTTCCTTTTTGGTAGCAGGGACAGTTTCCTTGGTGTCATATTTTTCCATCCACCTGTTCCTGAAGGCAGCAATGATCTCAACCTTGGAGCCCCTGTTCAGGGAAAGTGACATGTGTAGCAACTGTCAGATGGGTCTGGATATAGAAAAAGCAGCTGGCTCAGAAGCCCCTAGCTGCCTTTCTGTGATAGAGTTATTCACACTGGGGTTAGATAAGGCGGAGTCCTCCTACATGGATGTGGAAGTGAACCAGACAGTCTGCCTCGTCAGGCAGCCTGTCCACCTCCACAGTCCTTGCCCGCCTTTGCTGCAGAGTGACTGGCAGATCTCTAGAATTCAAAACTCACTGGTTGCTAGATAGCACTCGACTTGGTTGGTCCTTCTCCTTTTGCACCCTTTTTTTTGGTACTGGGGATCGAACTCGGGTCCTTGTGCTTATGCGGCAGGCAGCAAAACCACTGAGCTAAATCCCCGGCCCCTTGCACCCTTTTTTTTTTTAATGAGGGTTGGCACTGGGGATTGAAACCCAGGGCCTTTACATTAATTTACATTGCCTGTTTTTAAAATTTTGAGACAAGTTCTTGCTAAGTTGCTCAGGATGGGCTCAAACTTGGAATCCTCCTGCTTCAGCCTTCCAGAGTACTGGGATTACAGGCATGCGACCACTGTGCCTGGCTGAATCATTTTCTTTAGAGCTAAATAAATAAGCATTAACTCTCCTTTGATCTGTGGCTTGGATCAAATCATTCTGCCACAACTCCTTTTCTCTCTCCTCTTTTTGGTTCTGTGAGCACCTGTGTTCTTTCCCTTTTTTTTGGTACCAGGGATCAAACTGGGATCCTTGTGTTTGCAAGGCAGGCAGTGGAACCTAAATCCCTGGCCCAGTGTGTTCTTTCCTTTTGTATGGAGCAACATAGCAGGCAGGTCGTTTTCCATGTTGGTGCTCTTTAAGCAAGACTTGAACTCCTATTTGCTACTGGTTCCAGCTTTTATTCAGGTCTGGAGAGATTAACAGTCTTTCCTCTGATCCTCCTTCCAGAGCAAATGTGTCAAGTACTGGCCGGATGAGTACGCTCTCAAAGAGTATGGGGTCATGCGCGTCAGGAATGTCAAAGAGAGTGCCGCACATGACTACACGCTAAGAGAACTGAAACTCTCGAAGGTTGGACAAGTAAGTATATTGTCGTATCTTAGAGACTTTGGTGACTGCTTAGGTGCGTGGCCACCTGAGGTCCTGCACTACTCATGTTGGCACACATCACATATGCATTGTTGATTCCATAGTCACTTATCAGGTGCCATTTACATGCTGGCTACAGTTCAGGCTCCTGGTACGTTGTGAATGTGACAGACACTGTCCCTGCTCTCATAAGGCCTAGCAGAATTCCAGATCTAAAAGTAATACCAACAAAGCTTTTGGATTATCTAGGTCTGTGAAGCCTACAGGGTATGTTTGAGAGGGATTGGGTTCTCAAGATGAATAAGGAGGGCCTCTCTCAGGGGTGACCCTTGAGCCAACACCTAATCTGGAGGAGCCAGGCATCCAGAGAATGAGAAGGGCCCAGGGGTTAGGACCAAGGAGGAGGCCACTGCAGTGGATGGTAAAGATGGCAGGGCTTGACTAGGGCAGTAGCAGGGGCAGGAAATTAGAGGAGTGGCCGGAGGAGATGGTGGGGGAGGATGTGAAGGGGGTTAATAGGGCAGATGGGATCCAGGGCATCCTGGATAGATTGGTTTTGATTGACAGGGGGATGTTTCTTCTGTGGCAACAGAAGGGCAGGAGGAATAGGTGTCCCCAGATGCCAAGGCACCGATGAGCTGAGTGGGTTTACTCTATGTTCTCTCTGAGGCATGAGGCACGACCATCACTCAGGAGCTGAAGGGTCTAAGAAGAAATGGAGTATTTGAACTCAGGGAAAGGTAGAAGTAGTAATCGTGGAAAGAGGGCAAGCAATCCAGACATGTATGTTTAGACCTCGTCACCTGGTTGTGGGATTTTTCTCCAAGGGTATGCTGGTCCTTGGGCACAGAGCAGATAGGAGGTGGCTCGTCCAGGCCTGGAGCATAGCACAGTGGCACAGTGGCTGGAGAGAAGGTCATGGGACTGGAGGGGTGTGGCAGAGAGCAGCTGTCCCCACGGTCCATGGAGTCCTGGCTGGATCAGGAGGGAACAGGTAGAAAGCAAGGGTGTAGTGGTGTCGTGGCTGGAGGAGGTGAGCAGGAAGCTGTGCATGGCGTTCGGGGTGGTGCAGCTGCCTGCATTGCATTTGTGAGGTTGGAGTGTTGCGGTTCTCCCAATGATGAGGAGAACGCAAAGGTCCAGTCTGTCCTGGAGACGGGAGAGGGGCTGGGGGAGTGTGGCCATCAGACAGAAATGAGAGGTGTCGGGGACACTGGAGCACAACTCCAGGGAGGCTTTGCTTCTCATTGTCGGGTGTTTCTGGGTAGCAGGAGAGTTTTCCTGAGTGTCAGTGATGACCCTTTCACACCCCCAGATGCTCTGAGAAGTGGGGATGCTAGATGTCCACATGGGCTTGTTTTCTGCCCTGCTCCTGCTTTCTATGTAGCCTTTTACATTTGTTTCCAAGTGCCCTTGCATGGTCTCACGGAGCCTCCTCACTGGCTGCCTGGGGAGGAGGAGCAAGGGCAGAGCCTTGCTGACCACTTCTGAGGAGGAGGGCGGAGGCACAGTGAGGTTGGAGCTGGTCTCATGTTCCCTGGCTGGCCTTCCTGTGATGCACGGAGTGCCTGATGTTTAGGTTACTCAGTAGCATCAAAGCAATTTTTTTCTCCATCATCATCAGCAAATTAAATACATACAATTTACAGACAGATCTTAATTGTGGCTCAGATTCCTTGGATGTACTAAAGTTCACTGGTGGTGGATGCTGGTCTACTAACTCTGTCTTTAAAAATGTCATTTAGGGGCCGGGGATTTAGCTCAGTGGTTCTGCCGCCTGCCTTGCAAGCCCAAGGACCCAAGTTTGATCCCCAGTACCAAAACAAAAGCAAAACAAAAAAAATGTCATTTAGCTTCTTGGATTGTCTCTGAGTACTTAGGAAGAAGCTATAGCAATGAATAGTGCTGTTTCCATGCCTGCTTTGGATACACCCTGAATCGTGATGCTTTTTGGTCTTCTGTAGTCTGGGGCTTCATTAATTATCACTGTCCTCAAAATAGCTACAGTGTTCAGAGTCTCATATCTGCTGGGCAGGTGTGTGTGTGTGTGTGTGTGTGTGTGTATATGTGTGTGTGTGTGTGTGTGTGTGTGAGACAGAGACAGAGAGATCACTCTTCCCATGTTGCAAATAGAGTTTGGCTTCGAGATGTGCAGGGGCCTCAGTGCGTGTGAATGCTGAGGGTTTGAACCCAGATCTCATCATCTGATATGCAAAGCTTGTCTTCTTACCTACTTGGCTCTAAACAAGACCTTAAAATACAATATTGTAATAGAAGCACATGTATGTACTTGCTGAGGGTTGGGTATAAAAGATGACAAAGGGGAACAGATGTCTTGGAATACCTGTTTCATCGGGGGAGCCTGTGTCCTTAGAGACCTCAGGTGCCTCTGGAGCTGAGCTCCAGAGTGAGGAAGTGGGTGAGGAGGAAGGGGACGTCGCCTGGGTTGGTGGTTCAGATGTGTTTGGGTCTGCAGCTCCCCGAAGAGCAGACTGCCTTACCTGCCATCTTAGTTCTCGGGACAGAGGCAGGACGCCCCATCAGGTCCTGTAAAGCAGTGCACTGGGAAAGTGGTGGGAGGGGTCTTTAGATGGCACATGGGGAGACTCTGGGCTTCTGGCTTACACAGCATCTAGTACAGTTGGGGATTAGGCGATTCCTCAGCCCCTTGATTTATTTAATTCTGTTCTGGTTTTTCTTGGCTCTACTCCAGGGGAATACGGAGAGAACGGTCTGGCAATACCACTTTCGGACCTGGCCGGACCACGGCGTGCCCAGTGACCCCGGGGGCGTGTTAGACTTCCTGGAGGAGGTCCACCACAAGCAGGAGAGCATCATGGACGCGGGCCCTGTCGTGGTGCACTGCAGGTGACAGTCACCGCCTGCCCTGGCTCCAGAGCTTGTTTTTACTCACCTGCCCCAGCTTTTTAAAGTGTTAAGGTCTATTTGAGGTGTGAATGAACTGCATTAAGGGACATATTTCCCATGGCCCTAGAGGCCTGTCAGGTGTTGGGGGCAGTGAGGATGGGGAGGACTCAGTCCTTATTCTCTCTCAAGGGTCCTTATTCTCCAGGGTCCCTTAGTCTAGCTAGTTTTGTGTGTGTGTGTGTGTGTGTGTGTGTGTGTGTGTGTGTGTGTGTGTGTTTAATGTAGTAATTTGGGATTCATGTTTTTGACTGTGGTTCTTTTCTCTTCTGTCATGGAAATAAGACATATTCTTTCCCCCAATGCCACACTTGTTTGCTTTATGAAATTCTGACTGCTTCCTGCTTGGGCCTTTGATAGAAGATCCCTGTGGCCTTCATAGTTTGTGGCTACTGGTGACCCAGTTTGGGCTTCCTGATTATACTGGGGAAAGTTTGGTATCCTAAACCTCATGCAGGGCAATTAGATGCAGATGAAACGTTTTGTTCATTTTTTTTTAAGCTACCATTTATTGAGCCCTTGTGGGTGCCAGCCTCTGAGCTCAGTGTTTTTCCTACATTATTCACAGTTGAACTCACAATCCTGGAAGGTGTGTACCTGTGTCCCCACTTCACAGATGAGACAGAGGGTCAGAGAGTTGAAGGGACTTGCCTCGGGCACATTGTATGGAGAGGCTGGGCTCCAGGTGTAGCTGGGCTGACCCCAAAGCCCTGTGCTCTTTGCTAATATATTTGCAGATACAGAGACTATCTTATAAATTCTCCCAGGAGCAGACATTGTTTCTGTGAATATTAATAGCTTGGTTTTGCATAAAAGACCCCCACAAATGACACACTGTCCCTGCCTTTTGTCTTTCTGTTCACAGTGCTGGAATTGGCCGGACAGGAACATTCATTGTGATTGATATCCTTATTGACATCATCAGAGAGAAAGGTAGGTCATCCGGAGGCCACAAAGCCACAGCTCCTATTTGTACTTTCAGGAAGGAAAGGGCCAGGGAAAATAACCCACTCAAGAGAATTTGAGTGTGAAAGAATTTTTGTGAAAGTCTGGGCCAAAGACTCTGCCTTCCTTTGTCTGCCCAAGAAAAGAAGTGATATATAACATGGGGCCCAGAAGTGCGGGGGCCCCTTGCTGTGGCCTTGTGATGCCTCTGGGTGCTGGTTTCTCCTGACCATTTAGTCCTTGCTTGCAGCATGGGGTGGTTCCTTTAGGAAGGGGTATCCTGACCTCCTGACTGTCATAGCATCTTGTGTCATCATTGGCACTGCTCAGAAGTCCAGCCCTGGGGCCCTCAGCGCCAGAGTGGTAGTGGCCATATCTGCGTCTCTCCAGCTTGCTGGAAGCTGTGTGTTAAACAGCTTCATCCTGGCTTGGTAGTTCTCCTGCTGCTTCATGGTGTTCGCTTTGCAGGTGTCGACTGCGACATCGATGTTCCCAAAACCATTCAAATGGTACGGTCTCAGAGGTCAGGGATGGTCCAGACAGAAGCACAGTACCGGTTTATCTACATGGCTGTCCAGCATTATATTGAAACACTACAGCGAAGGATTGAAGAAGAGCAGGTATGGAGCTGGAGGGACCAGTCTGGATCTCCTCTGGGCTTACATCAACAGCTGTCTCTATTTGAGAGTGGGAAACAGATTCCCAGATAAAAGGGCCTCTCAGGAAACGAATTCTTCCCTACTTTGCAGTTCTGGGTTTTTAGTCCAGAGGCGCTTAGGGAGGGTGCCGTGCCATTGTTCTGGCCTGGCAGGTTGAGGCTCTGCTGTGCAGAATGTTTATGATTTTCCTAAGCTTGCATGGGAAGCTTAGAACTGAGAGAGAGCCTTGAGATTTCTAGCCTGTTCCAGCTTTGATCCAGGCCATGTTTAGCCTGATTCCTTCTCTTAAAATGAATACCTCACTCTTAATAGCACATGGAAATTTGAACCACTAGTTTGGTTGAGCTGGAAACGGTGAAATTTTAATTTTAATAAGCAGTGCATAATGAAGAAGAATGTGGAATTGGCACCTTTGCATTTGAAGCTATTCATAACGGACACAAAGCTGAGTTAATTAGGACTATGCTGAGCCGAGGGAGATGAGGACTGCTCTTTTGGGGAGCTGTACTTATCTGCCCCCACTGTAGTCCCATCGAGCTGTTGCAGATGGGCTAGTGTCTAAACAGTAATGGTGTTTGTCTGTTTTTCCCTGTTTATTGCCTGCCAGAGAGCTCCATTTCTCAAAATGGGATCTGGCACCTAAGTGCATGATTTCTAGCCCAGACAGGGTCACTAAGTTGCTAAACTGTCCAGCCTGGGGTTATACTTGCGATCCTGCTTCGTCTTGCCACAGTATTGGGATTACAGGCAGGTGTCATCATGCATGGCTTTTAGTTCTTTAAATCTGAATTGGACTTTTTTTTTTTATGGTCCTAGAGATTGAACCGAGGACCTTGCATGTTCCAGGCAGGTGGTCTGCCACTGAGCTGTTTTTCCAGCCCTCTAAATTTGTATTATTTTAAGCTTAATGAAATATGTAGATGGTTTTTTTTTTTTTTTTGGAGACGTGGTCTTGCCTCCGTAGTAGAGGTTGGCCTTGAACTCACTGTGTAGCCTAGGCTGGCCTTGAACTCAAGGTGATCCTCCTGCCTCTGCCTGCTGAGTGCTGGGATTACAGGCTTGTACCACCATCCACACACAACCTAGACATTTTTAAGAGTTCAGAGCTGGCCATAGTGGTATACGCCTATAATCCTAGCATTTGGGAGGCTGAAGCAAGAAGATCAAAAGTTAAGTCCAGACTGGGTTACCTGTGAGATCCTTTCTCCAAAAAAAAAGTTCAGGCCAATTATTTAGTAGAATGCTCTTCAGTTTGGGTCTGTCTGATGCTTGCTTTTGATGTGAGTCAGGTCTGTGACAGGTCTGCCACAGAAGTGACGTTGTACCCCTGGTGCAGCCTAGTAGGAGCACACTCGGTTTGATTGATTCGTTACTGGTGGGTGTTAGCTTGATCATGTGAGATAAGATAATGTCTGTTAGATTTTTCCACCATGAAATTACTGTTTTTTCCTCTGTAGTTAATTCCTTGTAGGTAGATACTTGAGATTGTATATGTAACCTATTTCTCATACTTTTTGCCTCCTAATTTCACATTCATTGATTTTTTTGCTTGATTGTAGCATTTGCCAAAGGGTGGGTTTCTATTTTTATCATTGTTTCTCCTCAGCTTTATTAAAATATAATTGATAAATAAAATTGTATATACTCAGGTTGTATATTTTGATTAATGTTATGAAATGATTACCACAGTCCAGTGCATCCACACATCCACCACCTCACATAGCTAACTTCTTTTTGTGTGTGGTGAGAATATTTAAGATTGCCTCTCTTAGCAGACCTCAAGCACACACTACATTAACTGCAGTCACCATTGTATAATAGGCTCTAGAACTTAATTCACTGTGTAACTGAAGGTTTGTATTCTTTGACCATGGTCCAACCAGTTTCCCACAACCAACCCCTGGCAACCACTGCTTTCTGTGATTTCAACTTTTTTAGATTTAACATATTAATGAGATCATGAAGTATTTGTCTTTCTGTGTCTGGCTTATTTTACTGAGCATAATGTCCTCTAGGTTCCTCCATTTTGTTGGAAATAGATTTTTCCTTCTTTTTAAATCCAAATAATATCCCACCATGTGTATACATTGCTTTTTCTTTATGCATTCATCTATTGATGGACCCTTAGATTAGTTCCAGATTTTGGCTCTTGTGAATAATGCTGCAGTGAACATGGGAGTGCATGATCTCATTTCTTTTAAATATTTACCCAGTAGTGGGATTGCTAGATCATATGATAGTTACTACTTTCATATTTTGAGAAACCTCCATTCTTTTCCGCATAGTGGTACACCAATTTACGTTCCTGCCTATAATGTGAAAGAATTTCCTCCTCACCCTTACCAACATTTGTTATCTTTTGATTGGTACTGGGGATTGAACTCAGGACCTTGTACTTGCAAGGCAGGCCCGGCACCACTGAGCTAAATTCTCAGCCCTAGTAATAACCTTTTTAGCATGTATGAGGTGATATCTTATTTTGGTTTTGATTTGTATTTCCCTGATGATAATGATGTTGAGCACTTTTTCCATGCCTGTTGGCCGTTTGTATGTCTTTGGAGGACAAATACCTATTCGAATTCTCTTTCTATAACCTTATATGTACGGTGGGTAGTAGTTCCTATGGACCAAAGTTGACAGTTTACATAGCCATGGTGCAGTTATCAAAATTAAAAAGTTAACATTGGTACATTACTATTATAAGGTCTAGAATTTATTTGGTTTACATCAGTTTTCTCCTGAATATCCTTTTTCAGTTCAGGATCCTACATTGAGTTTCCTGGCCTAACTGAATTGTCTCCTCTGGTTTAAGATCATTTCGTGGTTGTCTCTTGCTTTGCATGACCTCAATAATTTTGAAGAGTACCTGTCAGACATCCTGTACAGGGTCCCTCAAGCTAGGTTTGTCTGATGTTTTGTCGTGATTAGAAGGAATAGCAGATCTTGGGGAAGAATATCTCAGAGGTGTTCTGTGGCGTGTTCTCATCACTCAGGGTGTGAATGTTACCAGCATGGTGTCTGCCAGGTTTCTCTCACTGTGCACTTCCTCCACTTCCATTCCCCGGTTCTGTTCCTTGCAAATGAATCAGTTAGTGTCGACCATACTGAGGGAATTGAAATTAAGCTGTATCTCCTGAAGTGGGTGGTAGCCACATAAGTTACTTAGAATCCTTGTAAGGATGATTTGTCCTTTTATTTATCTATCTACCTATCTATCTATGTCTGTTTAATCATTTATACCAGCATAGACCCATTTATATGTATTTTATACTCTGTCTTATAGTACTATGTTATTTATGTTTTTGCTTGAATTGTTGTAGCTTTGGGCATTGGGAATTTTTTCTGTAGACTGCTGAACTCTGACAGTGTGAATTCTCCTTTTGTTTTTGAGTTTCCCTTACTTGCTGGCACTGCAGGATGCCCCAGGCTCATCTTACACTGTGCCCACCACAACCCTGGAATCAGTCAGTTTCTGATGAGGCCCCTCCCCTTCCTTTCCTTAGAGACTGCTGTTCAGAAACCTTGGCCGGGGCTTGGGTGTGTTCATTGCCACTGAGCACCACTGTTTGTAGGCTCTCCTGGCAGCCAGAGCAGACAGTGTATGTTCACATACTCATGCATGTGCGCATGTACAAGTCGATCTTTCTGTTTCTGGATCTGTCTGTATATATGTTAAACATGAGTTCATAATAGTGTCTCTGACTGTAATCCAGTACCACAGAGTCCATTCTGGCTTTCCCATGGCTCATTTATAGTTTTTTTCTCTATGGGGAGAAACTTCACTCCCGTTATCTTCAACTTAACATACTCATTTGTTCAGCTCTGCTCTATATGTAAAGTAGTTTCAGAATTGCTAACCTGTACTCCTGTGAGAATCAAACTTAGCAAGCAGAGAACTTTTCTTTGAAGAAGATAATCACATCCTCCTAGGAAGTGGCATTTAAGCTTCAGGGTACAGTGACTGAAGCAGCCTTCCCTCGAAGTATATGGTGTAGAAGTTACTTTACAGAGCTTGGACAGAAGTGCGATGGCACAGGGTACATTTAAGCTGCAGCAACTTAAATTAATCAAGACTTAAACAGGCCTGGTATGACACTTGCCATTCAGCTGCTTCTATTTTTTTGGTACTGGGGATCAAACTCGGGACTTCTGCTTGCAAGGCAGGCAGTGGAACCACTGAGCTAAATCCCCTGCCCCCCAGCTGCTTCTATATTATTAAACATTTCCTTGCTGTTTGGTGTTATTCCTTTAATAATTACGTGGGTATCTTGTGCGTAGCAGCCCCTGGTAGATGCTTAGGTTCCGGCAGTCAGTGGGACAGGCGTGGATATTGCCAAGTTCATCTGTGTTCACATGGGAGCATGTCCCCCACCCCCGCCATGCCCTGCATGTTTTATTTGTTCCCCTGGATATGTGCATCTTCACATGTCTTTCTCAGTCTCCATGGCTAATGAGGACCTTTTCACATCCGTTCATTCAGTTGTCCATAAAGTAGGTTGGACCGTGTGATGGCTATGTGCCAGGTCTGGGGAATGAAAGTGGTCGTGGTCCTGAGAAGAGGTGAAGTCCAGGAGGGCTGGTGCTGAGTCTTGGATGGGAGTGTGGGGTGTGAGGAGTGGGATTGGTGAGGAAGCAGAGATCGGATTTTCACTTGGCTTGTGGGCCATATTAAGGATTTTAGACTTTGTTCTGGAGGCAGGAAGTTACTGAGCGATTTGAAGCAGAAGGGTAGTGCAAAAGAACCTGGCTCGAGGCTGAAGAACTGGGAGGCACAAGGCTGGAGCAGCCACAGCTGTGCTGATGGGAACTGATGGAGGATTGTGGAGACCGGGCAGGTCTGATAATGACCTTGGGGAAAAGTAGAACCAGTCCATCTTTGAGATTAGCTGTAGTGGTAGCTGAGGTATTTGCAATCCTGAACCAGAACACACTGGCCAGCTGACCTGTAACTTCGACAGGAG